AAGGAAGGAAGGAAGGAAGGAAGGAAGGAAGGAAGGAAGGAAGGAAGGAAGGAAGGAAGAAGACAAAGCAAGGCAATGCTTAATTTTTAAATTAATCTAGAAACTGTATCTACATGTACATCTACATCTACAGTACAGCTACATCTATCATTATCAGTTTAGTATACAAAGCCAATTTGATATAGTGGTTAAAGGTGCTGGACTAGAAGCTGAGTAAGCATCAATTCTGGTCCTTACTTCGTCATAGAAGCTGGCTAGATGGCATTGGGCCATTTACTTTCTCCCAGCCATAGATTGGGATGTCAATGATATCTCTCCATGAGCCAACACTAGACCAGAGTAGTAAATTACAACCTATAGTCTTTATTAAATAGCCTTCATAATGTAATGGATTGGTTTAGGTTACCAATATATGAAATTGCCTCCTGGAGACTTTAATTTGAGTGGTATTGGGAGATGGTAAGGAGAAAGGAGGTGCTTGACAAAAAGGCAAGATGGCAGTGCATGGTATTCATATAAAAGGAAGCTATAATACTTGCCTTTTCATTCCCCTACATGGATGCTATTGTTTAATATCTTTGTAAATTTTTCACTCCAGTTCCATCTCAGCTTCATTTAATTTTTTTCTTTTTCTCTGGTAATATTACACTACTACTAGAGCATACAAAACATTTGCTATACCAATACTCAAATACAGCTCATCAGTCTGGAACCCACATTACATATCTGATATTAACTCAGTTGAGAAAGTCCAGAAATATTTCACAAGAAGAGTTCTCCACTCCTCTACTCGTTGCAGAATACCTTATGCCACCAGACTTGAAATTCTAGACCTAGAAAACCTAGAACTACGCCGCCTTCGGTCCAATCTAAGTATAGTATATAAAATCATACCATTGCAATGTCCTACCTGTCAATGAATACTTCAGCTTCAACCATAACAATACAAGAGCAAACAATAGATACAAACTCAAGGTTAATCTCACCTTGATTGCAGGAAATATGACTTCAGCAACAGAGTGGTCAACGTCTGGAATACTCTACTTGACTCTGTGGTTTCTTCCCCAAGCCCCAAAAAATGTAACCTTAGACTGTCTACTATTGACCTCACCCCTTTCCTAAGAGGTCTGTAGGGGGCGTGCATAAGCGCACCAACATGCCTACCGTCCCTGTCCTATTGTTTCTTTTATTTTTCTTATATGTATCTATGTATTCACAACTATGTTTTTACTTATACCTATTACCTTGTAAGCAATTGACAAACCAAATAAAATAAATAAAATAAATTTAGGGGAATGAAAATGTATCATTAACATGATGTTCTCATTGAAAACTTCACCTGCGCTATATTCCAGCATAAGAATGGGTAAGAACAGCAAGACGTTTAATTCAAATGTTTTGTTTTATTAATGAAGCACTGCATGCTTTATAAACTAAATTATTGGAATTGAATTGGCTGCATTGGCTTGCAAACTTTTTATATCTCAGGTGAAACTACATATCATTATTGTATAGCAGGCTCTCTTCATACAGTATCTAAATTGTTGACTGTCACTGCATTTGATGGCACTGATTCCAAAGATTAAGTGTTGAGTAAAAATAAATAAATTTTAGTGTTGAGTAAAATAAATACATTCTTTTTTCAATCCTCCCTTTATTTAAATTTTACAGGTGCCATCAAGAAAACTCTCTTGTTCTACTTTTTCCCCCACATCAAATATGATTTTAGATAACTCCACCTTGACTTTTCTTCCCTGGTTTTGTTCCAGAATTAGAATGCTCTAAATGCCAATTTTACTCATAAAGGAGCTGCTAAGTGCTTTAGTTATTCCTTTTTGACCTTTTACCAGAGTGACACCCGGGCTATGAAGATAATCTAAGTTGTGTTGGCCTTACTTAAACAACCCATATAGATTTATTCGCTGAAAAGAATGAGACAAAATAAAATCTAAATGTTTTCTTTCTTTGATAACTAGGAATGTAGTCTCATGTATCTGACATTCTGTAGATTCAGAAACTGCAAAAGGGCAATTCCTTCCCAATATAATGAAATAGAGGATTTACACTTAATGAAGAGCAGTTTTCTTGTTTTAAAAAAGTTTTATTCTGCTCCAACTTGGCCTGAAACACTTATCCATTCGTCTTTTCCCAGAAATAGGAAAAATTGTTAGAGTAAGGCCAAGAGAATACAGGTAGTCCTCAACTTATGACTACAATTGAGCCCAAGATTTCTGTTGTTAAGTGAGACATTTGTTGAGTGACTTTTGCCCCATTTTATGACTTTTCTTGCCTCAGCTGTAAGTGAATCACTACAGTTGATAAGTTAGTAACCCAGTTGTTAAGTGAATCTGGCTTCCCCAATGATTTTGCTTGTCAGAAGGTCGCAAAAGGGGATCACATGACTTTTGGGACACAGCAACAGTCATAAGTATGAACCAATTGCCAAGCCTTCAGATTTTGACCATGGGGATGCTGGAAAGGTCCTAACTGTGGAAAAACGGTCATAAGTCATTTTTTTCATTGCCATTGTAACTTTGAACGGTCCCTAAATGAACTGTTGTAAGTTAAAGACTACCTGTACGAATATCAGCAAGAAAACCCACCATAGCTGAGCTATTGAGTAACTAACGGGGGGATAGGCAGAAGTGTTGTAATGACAAGGCAGTCGAGTTGTTTGATCATGGTCAACTGAATCATGATGAACTTTATTGGAATCTAGTCTTGCATTTATACACATTTTTAGTTATCCTCAATCATTGGTTAACTTTGGTTACTGCTTAACTTTCGTTACTGTTTAGCATAGTAATTAACACAATTAATTATCTCTAGTTAAAGTCTAACATATGTTTACTTCCTCTCTCTAATCCTCCTTTAGATTAGTGACTTTGTTTGCCTGAGTTGTATTTGCTTGGAAACATTCTTTATCTGAGGTTTGCCATCCAAGATTAGAACATTCCTGCAATTACAACTCTACACAGAAGGGCCCCTAGTGGGTAAGTAGTTTGCTGTACTTTCTGGGTCTCAAGTAAAAGAATGAAGATAAACCAGGTGCAAATAATTTAGCATAATTGAAATAACTTAGCGTATAATATATCAATATATGAGCCACAGGTGCACATAAGATGCTTGCACGATCTCACTAAGAACATACTCATGTAGAAAATGAGACACATATACACTTGTATTAATATAGTGTACACGGGTTTTTTCCTCATCTTATGACCTTCAAACATACCACTACATCTGGTTTTCCTTTCTTATCCCTACTTGGTCTATTTTTAAAATCTAGTTATTTTTTAATCTTTGCAATAATAATAATAACAACAACAATATAATTTAAGACTTGACCATTGTTTCTTACAAAACTGATGATACTAGAAATCCAGGAAGGGTTTTAACCTCACAGGTTTTTCCCCCCTCTATATTGGATTATGCAAATCCTGTTTACAAGTCAGCAAATTCAATTTGGCTGGGTAAATTAGGCATTACTTTTAATCACATTCTACAATTTGTTTTCAGCTGCCCTTTTCACACCCATCATTGCATTAACTTCCTTTTAGTATCCTGTTTGATTGGAAAGCAAACTTATCTCAAGACAATGTTGCTGACTGCCATCCATCTTTGTGAGATGATTAGTTAATATGGTTTCTCTAGGAAGGATAAATTGTCTGCTGCAAAACTGTGGATTACCATATTGAGAATGTAAATTCTGTTGCTTCTCTGGAGGGCCTCAAAAATGCTTGTCTGAATGAATGAATGGAAATCAGGTGGTACCAGTTGATGTCACATTATCTCATTGGAAGCCAGTTGAAATCACCTAGCAAGTTCTCTTTAAACTGGTGAATGATTTAACCAAATAGTAACCTTTATCAACCCTTTATCATCTTTGTTGCTCTTTTTGGCACACTTTCTTGGGCCCTGGCGTCTTTTTTGTATCTTGCTGACCCAGAACCATACACAGTATTCCAAGCATGGCATTACTAGCGCAATAATTATCACTTCTGTTGATAAAGAAAGTTAATCATAAAAAAAGTAAAGCATTCAATTTTGTGAAATTATTTACATTAAAAAAAATCAACTTGGAAATTGGCAGTAAAGTGAGGGGCAAAACCAGACATTATATTCTTCCCTGTAAGACTGTAAAACCTTGGGGTGGGGGAACCATACTATATTCTAATGCACTTAGGATTCTGATTGCAGGACTATAGGATTGATCTTGAAAAATGTAAGGATTTGATAACGAGAATTGCTTTCAGTGTTTTAGAGAAATACAGTTTAGGGTAGTTTGAAAAGCCCAGTACTTCACGGTAAAAGAAAATCCTTACAAGCCAAGTATTTCTTTTATAGCAAACCAATAATAAATTATTTGCCACATGTCATATATTAGACACCCACACTGAAGTTTCAGGCTAAAGTTTCATGAAGTAATAATCTCCATGACAACCTCTTATGGTCTTTTTCTCAAAAACAAATTGCCAACATTAACTGATTATTGCTGTATAGAAAAGCTTACCATGAAAATTGCTGTTTCCTCTTTTCTTCAAGGAACAGTGTGTTTTCAATCAACTGTGTTGTTTTTCTCTCTCCTTGAGAATAGTATACAATATACAATGTTCTATGGTCTCTGTTTTTTTTAATAAGATAACAAAATTATTTGCTCCATTGCTAAAGATAACAGATTGCTTTGTTCCGTTGCTAAAGTTCACCACCATCTATATCTATATCCACACGAACTAGACAGTTTTGCAGTCTAGTGGAAGAGCGGTTGGACACACAGTTCTCTCAAAATCTATTCATAAATGTTTGCATTGTCCTGGAATAAAGTATTGAATGAAAACTTTCAAGGGTATGTCCTTGATCTAGTACTATCAATAACTTTGAACCAGTGGAACGGCTTGCTTCCATTAGTTGTGGATGCTCCAACACTGGAGGTTTTTAAGAAGAGATTGGACAGCCATTTGTCTAAAATGGCATACAGTCTCCTGCTTGAGTAGTGGGGTAGATTAGAAGATCTTCAGAATCTCTGCCGACTCTGTTATTCTATATTCCATATCTTTATAAACTCAGTAGAGAATGGAGTGCTGGGAATGCTACCAAAATGATCCTGGTAGACTTGAAAATTGGGTCAAATCCAATGTGATGATGGCCAGTTGTGACAAATATAAGATCCTGCACTGAGTCCAGAGATAAAGGCAGCAGAGCTTTAGCTTGATAACTTATGTAAGACTTAGAGCCTAGGGACCATGATCTGAACACATCCAAGCAGTGTTTTGATTATATGCCATCAAGTCATTGTGATCTCTAGTGACCACATAGATGTTTTTTTCTATTTGTTCCTAATCTGGTCTTTCTTCCAATGTCACCACTGTCATTGAGTCCATCCATGTTGCTGCTTATCATCCTCTTTTTCTCTTTCTGACTCTCTTTCCTTCCACCTTTCCCAGCATGAAAGCCTTCCCTAGAGAGCTCGGTCTTCACATAATGTGCCCAAAGTATGTTAATTTGAGTTATTTGTTTCTTCAGTGATGACTCCAGGTTGATTGTTTGCATTTGTTTGTTTTCTTGGCTGTGTTATGCAGCATATGAAAAGGAGCATTTCCAGTTCATAGGATGCAAAAAAATCCACTGGATACACACTGTACGTTGTTTATCCTGCATTTAGAGTACTGTGTTCAGTTCCAGGCACCATGTGTTAAAAGGAACATAAAGAGATTGGAGTAGGTTCATTAGAAATCTACCAGATGATACTAGGTCTGAAAATTAAGCCTATAATGAAAGTTAAAGATGGTAGACATTTTAGCTTGTAAAGGGGAGATTTAAGGAGTGGAAGAATTATCCAGGAATACCTAAAAGGCTATGAGAAACACAAATTGAATCTGGGCACTATTGAAATGAGATTTGGATCAATGTCTAGGAATCTAAAAACCAGGAGATTCAGGCTGAATTAGGAAGCATTTCCTGACCATAGACTACCGTGTTTCTCCAAAATCACGACCCACCCCAATAATAAGCCCAACCGAAATTTTTTGGAGGGTGGGCCTAATATTACCCCTACCTCAAAAATAAGGCTGGGGGGGATGGGCCTGGCCAGCACGAGTGGGTGTGTGGGTGTGGAGGGAACTAGATGGTTATTTGCTAGATATAGCCTACACTTAACAGATTAGACAACTTGACCTATAAAATACCTTCTAATTAATACACTCTGTGATTGATCACACCCACCTGTAGCACTCACTGGCACATCTGCCTGCATTCATCCATATTGCCCGTCTACCTGCCCACACTTTCATCTCCATGTGCCACCACTTGCCCACCCTCTGTTCTTCTGCCCACCTGCAGCACCCACTTACACACCCAGCCATAACATCCAACTGCCTACCCACACTTCCACCCACTTGTAACATCCACCCATTAACACTTGCCTATAGGGCCTACTCCCCTTCCCACCTGAACTCACATCTGCCTGTAGCACAGCACGTTCACACACACACACACACACACACACACACACACACAAAATGTACCCTTGCTCGCTTTTGCCAAGAAATAAGAATTACCTCCAGGATAACAAAATAAAAAATTTCAAGACAGATAAACTTTACAGGCAATCTAAGATAACATGACCGAACATTATTGCATATCCTCTGCCTCCAAGACATTAGCAGGCATGCATGAAGCTAGAAAGGCATGCAAAGAGCCAGAAGTGATTTGAAAATGTTCAGGGCAGTCAATCAGTATTCAGTGGCTCTACTTGTTCACCATCTGATGTCTTCAAAACAAGCTTTTAACACAACTCCTATCTCCTTAGAATTGCAGTCATTACATTTCTCATAACTAGCTGGAACATACAACTATCATCACATACACCAAACATAAAACTCTTCGAACTACATAAAAGTAAAATTTTATGTAATATGACTCGATAACTGTTGCCTGAGTTAACCCTATAGAAATGATACTTGGTTGTGGCCAAGGATAGTTTGTACAGAAATGACAGTATATCTGTCAGCCAGTTAATCACGCATAAAAATAAACAGTTCATTTCAGGTAAAGAGAAATGGATTTTATTATCAGTATTCATTTAATAATCTTGAGAATTGTCTAAACAGAATCCATAATGTTTATTTCAGAGCTAATGGGAACAGGGGCATAGTACACTACAGGTTGAGAGGCAAATTTACACAAATATATTCAATTTCTCTGCACAGTTTGCTATCACATTGGTTTTTAACTGTATTTTCAGATGATTCATAATCTATGTCTCTGGTAGATACCCATTTTTATTTTGGGGGTGGGTGGGATATAAATGGGGTCAACTCTATATTTTCTGCAATGCATATATTTCTGCAATGCATACAATGCATTTCTCTGGAGAAAAAGATTCTTTGTAGAGAATTCACTTTATATTAAACCACACAGAAAAGTTTCAGAAAGTATTATCCAATTCACTGACTTGGTTTGCCAAACACACTAAAACATGCATTGTTTAAGCATGGTTTATTGAGTAGATTATACAGGTAGTTCATTTAGTGATGATTCAAAGCTACAATGGCAGTGAAAAAAGTGTCTTGCAACCATTTTTCACACTTACAACTGTTGCATCATCCCCATGGTTGTGTGATCAAAATTCAGAGGCTTGGCAACTGGTTCATATTTATGACGTTTGTGGTGTCCCAGGGTCATGTGTCCTTCTGACAAGCAAAGTCAGTGGGGAAGCCAGATTCACTTAACAACTTTGTTACTAAATTAACAACTGCAGTGATTCACTTAACAACTGTGGCAAGAAAGGTTGTAAAATGGGGCAAAATGCACTTAACAAATGTCTAGGTTAGCAACAGAAATTTTGGGCTCAGTTGTGGACATAAGTTGAGGACAACCTGTAATGAGAATGGAAATGGAAAGATTTCTGTTCCCATATCCACATTTAGTCTTTCAACCCCAAAAGCCCTCTAAAGTCCCCAAGCTCCCTTTTTGGGGAAAGGATCAGATCTGCCTTTTTATAAGGTTTGGGATGATTTAAGGATAGAAATGGGAATGAAAATGAGGGGATACCATCCAGAAACAAACCACTTCCATTCCCATCTTTTATACATTGAAATATTCACTCACTAAAAATTCAAAGACTAGCAAATTTCAACCTCATTTTAGGTGACAGGATGAAACTAGAAATCCTGGAAACTGAGTTAAGACCCTTGATCCTTTCAATATTGCCTATTCTGATCTCTGACCTACATCATGAGGTAGAACATTTGTCACTGTCACATGCCTCTATAACAAGACTTTTGTCCATATGTTCATTTACATATCTCTCCACAAGTAGCAAAAATTTGCTCCATTATGTAGAAGTTTCCCTCACCAATGGTTGCTAGTTGTCAGTGATATTAACTTTGCTTTGTTAACTTTGGGGTTAACTTTGCTTTGTTTCTTTTACGGAGTGTATTTTTATTGGTCAATGACCAAAATAGGGTTTCTGCCTGTCTACATATTGGTGTAATGAACCATTTAAGTCAGGGTAGATTGTATGCTGTCTTGATTTCTCATTCACAGACATTTGGGATCAATCGATTTATGTCATCGGTCATTCGTCTGCTTAACTCACAACCCAACGAGCCACAATTTTATATAAAGTTCTCTTAGGTTTGATTGGAACAAATAAGAAATAAATGAGGCAGAAGGATAAGTGGCCTTTGCAGGGAATTTTTTTAAAACCTCAGTAAAAGCAGCCACTCTTTTCTGCAGCCTGCTTATCTCAGAAAAAAAAGAGGCTTGCAAGGACCTAAGCTACCATCAGTTTTGTCTCCACAATCATCTGCCAGGAGTCCTAATTTACTTGAGCAAAACTGGTTCAATGGAAGAAAAAGCATATGTCCACCCATGCATGACCAAAGACACAAATCAATATAGGCACAAAGAGCATGACCATGTTAATATTTTTGTAATTATTGAAGATTAAATGGAAGCTGAGCTCTTTTTGAATTATGTTTCTTGATATGAACTTATTTAGAAATGGGACTTCTGCTCCAAGTCTTTGGTGTGCAGTTGTGCGTATGTGCATGTGTGAGAAAGGGGAGTTTTTAAGAGTGTAGGCAACAGAAATACATCTGGGATTCAAACTAAATCTTTTATGCTGTTCAATTAGAAAAAAAACATCAACATTGGTTTTTTTTAAAGGTAAGTTTATTCCAAGTGTTCATCTCTCATTCAGTGACAGTTTTAGTATTTTTACACATTTACATTGAGCGATCTAGAGTGCATGATTAACAATACTGGCAATTAGCAACCTAGTCTGAAAGGTAATTTTCTGAAAAACAAGATGACGAGGCTGAATTGTAAATCAAGACATTTCACAGCATAGTTAAGATCCACATCCAAAATCCAGACAAATTATTAAGAATCGTACCGTACACTGCAGGAAAAAAGGATTTAATATGATGTCAGTGTACCAGCACATGTTGTTTAGCATTGCGTTTCTGAGAAGATTTGCAACATCTTACACAGAAACCTTTTTGCTTCCTGCTGCCGCCAAATATGTTAATGGACATCAAGAAAAGATGTATATATGGCCAGAACTAGAGAAAAAGCATTAGGAAATTTAAGGCTCAGGATGTAATTTTAGCCCACAGAAGCAGTTTCCAAATGATGGGAAGCAAAGTGCAACTCTATTTTGCTTTGGTCATACTTCATCCTAAGTACTGTGTGCTATTCTGGGTACCCCACTTTAAGGATTCAAATATAATGGATAAGATAAAGACTAGAAACAAAGTTGTACGAATGATGCTTTTTCAAGAGGCAACTGGACTTTCTTTGTTTTTTCCTTGAAGACGCTTTGCTTCTTTTTGACTAAAGCCAAAACACAAGAAGCTACTTGAATGAGAAGCGAAATGTCTTCAAGGAAAAAAAAATCAAAGAAAGTCCAGTTGCCTCTTAGAAAAAAAAAACTTTTGGGACAACTATGAACTGGATGATTGAGAATTTCCATAGACATTTAAAAACAAAGTTATATGAAGAGAGATTGAAAGAGATGGGCAGAGAGGGAAGAGTTTGCATTTTCAGAAGCCCATGTAAAGAAAAGGTCAAGATTTCTTTCTTATCCCACAGGCCAGGTTACAGAATAATGGGTTTAGATTACAAGAAGGATGTTTCTAATTAAATGTGAGGAGAAAATCTCCTACATTAAGAGTAACAAAATAATTGGCTCAGGGGTGGTGGACTCCATTTTGCTAGAGATGTCTAAGTAGTACTTGGAGAAAGAACTCTTAGGAATACATACATTTAAAACCCTGCACTGGACAAGGGATTCAATTTAATGGCTTAAATGACTTTTCAACCCTAAAATTGTATCAGTGAGCCTTGGATTTATGTATTTAAAAAACCTGATTTATTGCAAACCAGTAAGTCCCCTGACAATCTGATTATAATCTGAAAACAGATATAAAACCAGTATGGAAATACACTTATCATTTTGTCTAATGCACCAAATTCACAGGTATAGAATAGGTGTATATGGCTCATGAGCAATAACTGTGAGAGGGATCTAGGAGTCCTAGTGAACAACCATTTTAATATGAGCCAACTGTGTGCCGCAGCTGCCAAAAAAGCCAATACAGTTCTAAGTTGCATCAACAGGGGGATAGTATAAAGGTCATGTCTCATTACACTGTATTAATCTGTATTCTCTAAGGAAGAAAATCCAAGAGTTACAATACACTAAAATACTAGCCAGTAAATAAAAAGATGGCAGAACCCGGTGAAAGATACAATAGTATCAGGATAAATACAATATCCTGCAGACATCCCACTCCTGATGGGTTACAATCTTTACTGGCACCCAATCCCTCCCCAACTCAATTTTTGCTAAACAATTGGAAATTTATGACATTTAGGCTTTTGAAGGTGATGGCATTTGATGGTAGAAAAGTTCAATTCCTATCTAGGGCCTGAGAATGTCATCTACTCTCCAGGATCTCTCCATGGTACTGAAGAACACTGAAACTTCCTTGCTGTCTTCTATTGGTCTATCTAGAGTCATATCTTTTTTTGGGTCTTTGAGTACATTTAGAATTTTGAGATTATGAAACCTTTAAAAATTTCATAGTGAGTGGAATGAATAACAAAATTTCCATTTAACAGAAGGCAAACTGGTGAGGCCATTCCCTCACCTCCAATTTAGGTTTTGCCTAAATGTTTCTGGTTTTACATAAGGCTGAGGGACATCTTTGAAAATAGAAATTATGGTTGAGAATGGTACTGTTCATCTATTTTGAACTAGAAGAACCTTTAAAAAATGATGGATTATTAAGTCTGATACAAACCTAAAGAAGTTTCATGGAATATAATGACGTTCAGAGATGTCACATTGTACGGCTTAAGATCTACACTCATAATGCCTACTCGGACTGACAATAGCTAATTCTCAATAACATATTTTTCATATCCCTTGTCCTTTGAATCTTTTTTGGAGACTGGACATGGAACCCAGGTACAGACACTCTATGTACTTAAGACTTGAAAGCAACTCAAGATTCTCTTCCTGGTTGAACTTCCACCCAATATTGGCATGTCTAGGGCTCCACTGCAATCCAAGGGACAGGGTCATTTCCTAGACTTGGAACATATACATGCAGTTTCAGTACTGAAAAAGAGATAGTCCAGGAATAGAAGGTGTAAAACTCAAGACAACTCAAGAGACATTAAGCTACATGTTATACAGGAGTTTGTTTTCATTACTTCTTGTCATTACCTGGAAATACATAACTCAAAAGCAGCTGCATTTATTTCCTTTCTCACATCCACATTTATTAGACATGCTAACCTTGGCAACATTTTAAGTTATACAGACAGGCCTGCATGAGGTCCAAGTGTTTCCCTTAATATTATAGGACACAATCATTAGCCCTTCTTTGTCATGATGGGTAACCAGAGATCACTTACCAATTATCCTGGAATGGAAATAGTTAACAGGGCCTTGCACTTTTCTTCTTCCAGCAGTTTCCATTATGTGATAGGGTAGTACATTTGAATATATAAGAATTACGGTAGAAAAAAATGAGATTATTGGGGAAACTGAAGTCCATCACATAATACCTTATCAGCATATTTCTTTTATGAAAAAGTAGACATGCAACCCTTGTCCTGTATATCTCCTGCAATTACACAGGCCATTCAACAACAAAAAATTAGTGCATGCCCTGATTCATGTGTAGGAGTCAATAGAAATATATCAATTCTTTCATTACAGAGAAAGAAGAAGGAGCCACTTATACGAGTTAAGCCAAAGAACAGTTAAATCAAATCTGAGAGATATGGGAAAATATTTACAAATGTGTACATAGTAAGAAAAACAATTTTAAAAAGTCCCCCCCTCAAATGCTCCCCCTCTCGCCCCATACATTTCCACACCAATTAGCTGTTGGTAAAATAACAATTTGCAGCCTCTGAAAGCTTTCAGTTTCTTTTTCAGTAAACCCAGCTTCTCTCATCTTGGAGTGCAACTCTGCCTTGTTGGCATTTCCTGTCTAGAACAAAAGCTTTCCCAGCAAGCAGGGTCTTCTGATGCAAGAGGAATAGCAGAGGTGACTAAATCATTGAAAGTCAGTATTGTAAATGCAGGCTTATTGCTGGGAATCATCTAAAAGAAGGGAGAAATGGATTAAGATTTTTCTGGTTGAGAAACAAGGCTGGGATTAATTCAACTTAAAAAAAAATATGTTTTTTTTTTACATACATGAAATGAAAGACAAAGAAAATAAATAGTTTTCAGGTATGTTCAAGTTTGACACAGATCCTAAAAAATCCTAGATGTAAATGCTCATCTCACTAGAAATGGTGATTATAGTGCTACCAAGTTTAATTTATAAGTAGATTGGAAATTGCTCAACAATTCCAAAGAAGTCGCATCTGACTTCAATGCTGTAAAAAAAAAACTGTTAAAAAAAGAAGATAAATGGAAAATCAAGAAGTCAAATGTCTCTACATTACTTGGGGATTAGTCATAAACACAATGATAGTAATTGAGTTAGAATGTGCATCATAGATCAAGAAAGGTACTATCCAAGTCCAAAAATTTATTATGATTAATGAGCACTGTCAAGAAAACAATTATAAAAATAGTGCTCCTTTAAGGAAATGGAAATATTCTCCAGATGAGACAAATGGATCACAAGCATTCAGAAAATAAATGCCAAGAGGCAAATAAATAGAGCTGGGAACTTTTTTTCCTTAAATCGGGGGCTGCGAATTATTTTATTGTGGTGGTTAGAAACTTGGAGATGATGTTATTTGAAGCTGACAGTAACAGCCAGTTGATTGTGTTCCATCAAGATGGTATTGATTCTTAAGGGATTTCTTCCAGGTGGATCTGTTCCCCCATCTGGTCCTTCAGGTTTTCCAATAACTGCTGTAATTGAGTCAATACACTCTGCTGCTGGTCATCTTCTCTTTCCTTTCACTTTTTTCAACTGTATGAAGTTCCACTGAGAACTAGATTTTCCCCTTATGTGTCTGAATTCTGATCATTTGAGCCTGGTAATGTGTACCTTGAGTGAGAACTCGGAGTTGATGAGTTCAACGATCCATTTGTTTGTTTGGCTATCCATGTTATTTTTAAAGTCTTTTCAGATCCCAAGGTTCAAAAGTGTCAATGCTCTTACTATCCTGGTTCTTCAACTTTTGCTTCTGTAAAGTGCCACGGGGAATAGCATGGTTTGCACAATTCTTATCTCTGATTAGCAATTTTCATGGCTGCTCTACTGCATAGTGTCCTGTGGCATATATAATACTCTTTTACCGTTGGTTGGTGATCCTAAAAGGTAGCAGCTACCTACCTCTTCAATATCTTCATTGTCAGTTCTAAAGCTGGTTATATCTGTTATTATATCTTCGTCATTTTAGTCCCAGTTGCTCATTATGGACCTTGAGCTTGCACATGCTTTGCATTTGGACTGTTATTATACCATATCATTGATATTTCTTCTTGCTGCTTTTAAATTACATCAATCTTCTTCCAGTTCAGTTCCATCAATGTATATGCTGCATATAATTTGAATAAATAATAGTTAGGAGTATACGATCCTGTCTCTTTCTTTTGCCAACCTAGAGACAGTCTTCTCCAATAGTCCATCATGTGGGGTCCATAATGTAAATTGCTGCCTGCAATATAGGTTTTGTATAAGAATAAAGAAATGTTCTGAGCTTCTCATTTTCTAAGTGCATTCTAAGTGCTCATAATCCACACAATCAAAGTACTGTATTTTCTATAGTCAAGAAAGCACATACTGTTTTTGTTATTTTTGGCTTTCCCAATCATCCAAAGAAAATGCCTTGTGTTCTTTGGCCTTTTCTAAAGGGTTATTTTGCTAGCATGTAAAATCAAGGATACTGTATGATAGTTTGCCTATCCTGTTATCTTTTCTTTAGTACTGGAACGTAGACTGACCACTTCTAATCAACTGGCCACTGTGTCATTATCCAAGTTTGCAGTTAAAACCTTTACTGATTTCTCTACTATTGCTTGCCATAGTTCTGTAGATATTGTATCAATTTTTGTAGCTTCCAATTTGGTAATGACTGGAGGACTTATCTAACTTAATCATCTAGTTTTTGTAAGAAGGGAGTATCTTCTATGGTATCGTGGATGTTGATTCTGTATATTTACTGTATGGAATTTCAACACATTCCTTTCATTTTTCTTTGAATCAGTTATTATCTATCGATTGGCATCCTTCAGCACACCAATTTGAGACTGGAACCTCCTTCCTAGCTTAAAGACCTTTTGAAAAACTGCCCTTGTTTTTCTGTGTTACCAACTTTGATGTCTTTGCAGATTTGTTGTAATACTGCTTCTTTTCAGCTCTCTGAAATAAATTGTCAAGTTTGTTCCTGAGACCTTTCCTCTTTCTGGCTTATATTCTTGGCAATTCCCACTGTCTATTCTGTCATTTGACATTTGATTCCCTTTTATTTCTTGGTTTGGCTGTTTCTTTGTATATTCATCTTTAATAATTTCTTTAATTTCCCTCCATAATTCTCTGGTTCCCTGTCAGGAACTCAAAACCGAGAAAGACATATTGAGACTCTTCTAGGCAGTTTCCTTTATTGCACCTTTCCTATAGACATAAATCTTGCCATTAAAATAGACCAATTTGCACCATTAAACATATATTCTCTAGCATGCATCCCTCCTTTCTGGGAATCTGGACAACATTCTTTCATAATATCAAAGCAATTCAGGACTTA